ACAGACCCAAAATGCAAATTCCGCACAAGCCACCGTTACTACGGTAAGGGAGACCAGATGCCACTTGTGCAACCACGATTTACCATCGGTGTGCGCTTCCGTGCCAAACGCGCCACCGTCCCTGCAAGTTATCGTGGCTGTTGCGCGAAACCATTACTGCGAGCGAGCCTCCTTCGCAACAATATCATCGTCCCTCACCGTTGAATCACAAAAAATTGTAGTGTTATACTGCTGCCGCACGAAACATACCAGATCCATTGACAAGTTTTGCAGACCACGATAAAGATCCATTGAGATTCTCGGTGACCAGTAGCAGCAAAACAATCGCGAAGCAGCAAACCATTATTTTTGGAATTCAGAGTTCAAAACCCACGAGAAGATAGATTGGGGATTTATTTTGATAGGTTCGAAACTCACGAGAGAGATGAAACTTTTGGGATTGTATTATTTCAAAATCAAATTTGGGATTCACCTAATTATTTATGATACCTAATTGAGATGAAGGGGTCTTTAAATGAAAGAAAATCTGAATTCTTAAATTTAATTTTCAAATACAAACATGAAATAAGCATGAGTAGCTCTGATACCAATTGTTAGGTTAAACTGTAATTGAATATGATCTTCATCCTAATGATCAAACATATATCTATAATCCCATACTGTAAACATGTTATATAAACTAAATGCGAAAGCGTACCTGAATTAGCCATAATGATGATATTTTTGTAGAGCACCTTTGAGTTGATCTTATGGTCTTCCACCTGAAGAGCATCTGTATTTCCCTATGAATTTTCTCTCTTGATGGGGATAGAAAGAAAAGAACGGGATTGTATCTGTATTCTGTCTGTGTGCTCTCAGAAGGGGACCATGACCCTTTATATAACCAAAATTAGGTTAATTACTTAAGTTTTAGTATTTTCAATTTGGCCCCTCATCAAATAAAAAATTACTCTATGGTCTCTACACAATCATATTTTCATGACATATGCCTTTAGCCAAAACATTAATTTATTCAGATCACTTTATTATTTGGCTTAATAAATAATGACCCTAACACATTTAAATATGTATCATATATATACATGACCCAAATTTTGCCAACACAAGAAACATGGGTTCCCCCCAGGGTATAAGACATATAATAGTAAGTCCGCTATCGTGAATAATCTTGATACCATTCAAGAAGCAAAGACCGATCATGATGCTCAAAATCAGGACTTCAGCTTTCACAACAGCAATATCATGCTTTGATGTATCTACTACAGCAGACAAATAATCAAAATGTGTTGGAAATGTTTCAGCTAACCAGGTTGGTTCTACTGTATCCTGCAACACAATGAATCAAGGTAAAACTTCTGTTTCTCTAACCAATTTTATCTCTCATGATGATTGGATAATTGATTCTGGTGCCACATATCATATTTGTTGTTCTCTTTCAAACTTAATCAATTTTAAACCTATATCTCGTATAATTGTCAACTTACCTGATGGAACTAAAGTTCAAGCTACCCATTCGGGTTCTGCTAAAATTTTTGAAAATATGTGTATTTAGAATGTGCTTTTTGTTCCCAGTTTTTCATATAATCTTATTTCTATTTCTAAGTTAGTTTCTTGTTCAGATTACATTGTTATTTTTTTCACTAATGAGTGTCTTATCCAGGACAAGAAATCCACCAAGAAGATTGGTACAGTTAGGATAAAATCTGGTTTATACGTCATCAAGAATGACCTTCATGCTTGCAATAGTATTGTTAAACGTGACATTTGGCACATGCATCTTGGGCATCCTTCTCTTGATAGAATGACTATTCTCCACTAACAGTTTCCGTGTTATTGCCTCCACAACATGTGAAATACAGTGGCTTCATCACCTTATACAAGATCTCAAAATTCAACATCAACAACCTTCTCTTTTTATTGTGACAACCAATCTACAATTCAAATTGCATCTAATCAAGTCTTTCATGAACGAACCAAACACATCGAAATCAATTGTCACTTGATTAGAGAGAAGATAAAACAAGATCTAATTAAAATTCTTCACATCAGCACTCATCACCAAGAAGCTGACATTTTCACAAAACCTCTTCCCCCTGCTACTTTTAATAATCTTATGTCCAAGCTGTGAATTCTTGACATATACTCTCAGCTTGAGGGGATGTCAAAATAATCAACTACATAACAAACCTATTATTACCTTCAACCACAACGTTTCATAGGGTTATTACTTTCTTTCTTTTATTTTTTCTGTTACATTTCCATTCTCACTTATGATATTATATATATATATATATATATATATATATATATATATATATATATATATAAAATAATGTATTTTTATATAGAAGAGAAAAATAATATTTATTTTCGTCTTCGAAGAATGTGTCTTTTACTCTTTCTTTCTCTATGTTTTTTATCTTTGATGAGTTGCATATTTGTCAAGAATTTCAATTAAGTAAATCTTTTGATGTGTCCTATTAGAGATAATCAAATCCTCTTACTTTTCTTAACTTCTAACCAGAAATTTCACTTTTATGTTTTAAAACTACTTTAACAAGTTCTTACAACAAGGTCTTATGTACTAATTATGTTTTTTATAATACATATCGATCACACTGTAGTTAATAAAATAAAACTAAATATAATTAAAATACATATAACAGTATATGGGAGTGTAAAAAAAAAAACGAACATCCATCTATCATTGAATTTTCAAAAATTTAACTACGTGGTTCGTGGATTTATTTTTTTTATTGTTCGTCTAACTGGTACTTAATTTTTGCCTCATATTAAGTGGGTTTTTGCTCTGCAAAATGTGACAAGGAACGTCAAATAGTGTAAGAAAAAAACATTTATTTCTCACCGAAACCTCACAATAATGGAATTGTTTGTCAGTAGAAATAAGTACGATCCACCAAAGCCTTCATTATGCTTTACGTGGATGATGAAATTTTTTTATAAATAATGTATTATTTAAATGAGGAAATATATAAATATTGAAAATATTATCTATTATTTTAGATAAATGAAAAAAAAATTCAAAAAAATATATTCATCCTCATATTTGATGACATATTTTCCATTCATTATTTAATTTTTGAAATAAAAAATATAGTTTAATATTTGTATTATTATTGTTATTATTTATTTTTAATAAATTATTATATAATTTTATATAAGATATTTTGTTAATATATATTTTAGACTTAAATTAGTTTTTTAATGTACATAAAATTACCTTATTTTGATTTTAGTGGTAGTACTTCTTTATTTTTTATAATATATGTAAATTTTGATTTTTTAATCAATGTAAAATTCTTTTTTTATTTTATTAAAAAAACGTTAATTCAAGTTCTAACGCAAAATTCAAAAAAATAAATGACATATTATATATATATATATTAATTTTCTTAAGATATTATATATTAACATCTTATTACAACATTAACATACATTACTTAAAATAATTATTTTAATTTTTATTTATATAACAATGATTATTTATCATTTTAGAAAGTAGTTGACAAAAAGTAGTATAAAACATACTACAATATAATATATTATGATTCCCAACAACAAAATTTGAAATATTTAGATATGTTTGATTTGGTCTCACTTTTTATTTAAAAACATAATTTATAAAATAATTTTATGCTATTAAATCATTAACTTCTCATTTAAAACGTGTCAGTTTTGAAAGTTATATTTGTTGAAAAATTAGAGTATAAACTTTATAAGAGAACTATTTATTATTTGATTTTAAAATGCTATTTCTTATTTAGTATAAAAATGAGAGAATAAACTTTGTACATTAAAAAAATTCTCATTCAATAATATAACGAAATTAAAATGGAAGTGAAAACTTATATTGATTTTTCTAAAAAGACTATATTTAAACTGAAAAAAATAAAATATTTATTTATTTTTATCACCGTTCTCTATATATTTAAATAGAGTTTTCTTTATAAAAAAAATTTATTTATCTCTTATGCTCAAATAGTCATATCTATCCAATACAGCCGCTACTTCACCTCTATCTAACGTGTGCATCAACGAAAGATTGAATTACTGAAAAAAAAAACAATATTTGCCACATGTTCCGGCGATATTTTGATTACTTCGATTTTATGTTTATTATATAACATTATTTATTTAATTTCCATATTCAGTTGGTTTTATAATTTTTTGTTTATTATAATTTTATTTTTTTTAAATATTTTAAATATATATATATATATATATATATATATATAATTATTTTTAACTGAAACTCGTTAACTTACCGAAATACCTCATCATATTCCTTTCTTACATACATAAAGATTTGAAAAATAATTCCTTGAGTAACATGTTTAAAGAAGAACTCAAAATACCTTTTTATTTTTTAATTTATTTTTTTCGTTCCTTACCATTTTGTCCCGTATTTTTCTAAAACAATGGTAACAAAAGAATCTCTTTTTCTTTTTTCCTTAGAGAATACTATTTGTTACACACGCGTCAACTATGTTATATCATTTTCTTATTTTATAATAAAAAATAAACGAATTTTTAAGGTTTTCTATCGCCAAATAAAAAATTTATACCGTCCACTAGTTAAAATATATTATTAATATTTATCGAAAAATAAGTAAGTATGAAATCATTTTTTGAAAAGTGACGAAGCGGCATGAAAGATACCCTTCAACTAAAGAAAACAGTCGAAGCAGAAATACGAGTGGCGTAACAACCTTCAAACGAGTAGAACACGCGTCGTTTAGCGTTGAAATAATAATTCCCTCTCGGTCACTCACTGTTAGTCTGTATTTTTTTTTTTTTTTTCTTCTTCGTTGCCGTATTCGCCTTTTTCAATAGAACGGACCGAACACGGCAAAACCAATGCAGCTTTACGCCAAAGCACCAAAATGAATCGCATCGAGCTTCATTGAGCTGTGCTGGATCTGTTACTACCATTTCTTTGATTATTTCAGTTGAATTGAACTCGCTAGGCTACCGATTTAATGGATCCGAGAGGTTTAGTAATGTTAGTGGCGATTCTAGTTGCGGAAATTGGTTGTGTTGCTAACGGAAATTTAGTGTTCCCGGTGGAGCGTCGGAAAAGGAGTTTAAGCGCTATCAAAGCTCACGATGCTCGCCGTCGAGGTCGAATTCTCTCCGCCGTGGATCTCAACCTTGGCGGCAATGGTCTCCCTACTAAGACTGGGTTCGGTTCTTTTGCTTCTTTCTAATCAGTGTTTTAACCTGATGAATATTTGTTTGCATGTAATTAAAATTCATAAGAACTAATTATTTTTTAATTTATAATATATATATATATATATATATATATATATATATTATATTTATAATGAATAGTTTAAATTGTATTATGATGTTATATATAAATTGAAACATATATGTCTCTCAAAAAAAAATTCAAATATAGAGATATAGATAATAAAAGGAGAATAGAGTGAGATAGTTGATAAGATTTTTTCAACTAGCTAGTTTCGGGGTAGTGTGTGAATATACCTTATAAGGAGAGAATATGACGAATTTTCAGAATGTGTAATATCTAAATTGAGAATTCTGATTTGTAGTATAGGAGTAGGTTTAGCTATTATGATATTTGAAGAAGCTACCAGTGATTTACTTTATTTTCATGCTTGTGTTGTGTTGTGGTGTTGTTTATTTGGTTTAGTCTGTATTATACAAAACTTGGGCTTGGCTCTCCTCCGAAGGATTATTATGTGCAAGTTGATACAGGAAGTGATATTATGTGGGTGAATTGTGTTCAGTGCTCGAGATGTCCCAGGAAAAGTGATCTCGGTGTACGTATCTATGTTTTAAACCTTTTTCTCAGTTGGCAGATTCAAATTCTGAATCATTGACTTTGATCTCTTTCTGAATTTCCAATTTTTTTGTTGTTTCAACAGATAGATTTGACTCTTTATGACCCAAAGAAATCTGGAACTTCACAGCTGGTTTCTTGTGACCAAGATTTTTGCTTTGCCGCGTTTGATGGTCCAATTCCTGGGTGCAAGTCTGAAATTCCATGCCCCTACAGTATAACTTACGGAGATGGAAGTGCAACTTCTGGATACTATGTCCAGGATTATCTTACGTATAACCGTGTCAACGGAAATCTTCGTACTACACCACAAAATAGCAGCATCATTTTTGGGTGAGAATAATTTCAATTACTAAGTGCCAATGCTTTAATTTCTCACTGAATAATTTATTATTGACTTCTTATGGTAGGTTTTAGGCCGATCATGTCTGTTGTTCAATCAGAGTAGGGGTTCTAAGACAGAATTATCTTGGTTGTGAACAAAATTTTCACTCTTTTGAGTCATCTGTTTTTGGGTTATGTGGAAAACTTTACATTGAAGTGGGAATTTTCAATTTATTAATTTTAATTAAAAATATTTAGGTAATAGGTTCCCATGTTGATAGATTAAAGAAAATTTTTGCCATTTCAAATTTTTCCCCTGTTTATATCTCTCTTGTTAATCTTTTGCTGACAGGTGTGGTGCTGCACAATCTGGGACATTGGGTTCATCTACTGAAGAAGCCCTTGATGGAATAATTGGTTTTGGACAAGCAAATTCTTCTTTGCTGTCACAGCTTGCTGCATCCGGAAAGGTGAAAAAAATATTTTCACATTGCCTTGACAATATTCGTGGTGGTGGAATATTTGCCATAGGGGAATTGGTGGAACCAAAAGTCAGCACAACTCCATTGGTACCGAAAATGTATGTGCACTTAGTATTTCATTCTCATTCTATTATATTGGTTATCATATAAATATCTAAGGGTAAATTTGATGGTCGCACAATATTGGAACTACCAGGAATGAATTATCATTTAGATAACCTCATGTGATGTTCACAAGACTTTTTAGTTGGCTTGGTTGTTCTATAATTGCAGTAGGGAGCTGTAATTAATATTATTTAAAGATAGAAAATTCCCTAGAGTAGTGGATCTGCATGGTTCTTTTTTTCTCCATTTGGACATGTGTATCACATTCAAACGTTTAATGTTATATATTTATAAAAGATTCAGAAAATGAATTAACGAAGATATAATTTTAGAGCCAAAGTTGTAAATACTTGATACGTGGTGGAATAAAGCATTCACACTCATAATCGCTGGTAGATTTCCATTTGTATATATCCATCAATTTTATTGGTTTACGTCAGTGTCATAAGAGCATGTGTATTCAGTTAGAGCCTAGACCTTTTGAAGTTTTCTGTCTTTTGTTGCCCCTTTTGCATCCTGTTGGGACCGTTTTTAACTTTAAATTTGTAAAAAAGTTTGGCATGTGTGAAATTCCATCCATCTCACTAGCAAGTATATATAAGTGTGATCGGGCCACAAAATGAAGGCCTTCTTTCTGTTTTTTTTTTCTTTCGTTTTTATGGCTTTCAGTTTTATGAAAGTATATTCGTCTGAGGCCTCTAGTTTAGGTTGTGAAAATTTGTGAAATGTTTTTTTCTGGTAGTTAATAGCTATAATGTTTTGATATTCAGTTCAGACCTTGAGTTTGAAAAATTGTCACAACGGTTATCTTTTGACCATTATAGGGCACACTATAACGTGGTTTTGAAGAGTATTGAGGTAGATACAGATACTCTACAGCTTCCCTCAGATATATTTGATTCGGGAAATGGGAGGGGGACAGTAATAGATAGTGGAACAACCTTGGCTTATCTTCCTGCCTTAGTTTATGACGAACTGATTCCAAAGGTAAGTGAATGTATAAAGATTTAACTGAATCAATATTTCCACTTGAGTATTCATTAATGTTCTTTATGATAGGTTTTGGCCCGGCAGCCTGGACTGAAATTATATCTTGTTGACCAACAATTTAGTTGTTTTCAGTATGCTGGAAAGTATGACGCTTATCTTTGTGATATTCTTTAATTGAAATTTTACATTTCTTTGTTATATTGGAATAAGTATTGGTTTACTCATTGTTTTTAACTGGTGTACAATATCCCATAATTTATCTGAGATACTTTAGGTTTATTTTCTTGGTTGTTTAGTCCATAGGGTCTGATGTCAAGTGACAACTTCATATCTCTATTTAAATATATCTTCATAAATATCCATTCATGACCGTTTGATTATATTCGGTAATTCAAATTCTGAAACCTGCAGGAGGAAAAAGACTGTGATAAAATAAAGGACACAAGGCAGTAGTAAGTAGGATCAGAGGTTGTGTAATAAACTGTGTACTTTAGATGGAGTTTTGACATATATTGACTTGTTGACTTTAAGATTACGGATTAGCTTTCTGATGAAGTCAATGTATTTGGTCTATTAGGACTTTGTTACAGAAAAAAGTATGCCCACCCCTTTATACGGTCCTTTGGTTTTTCTGTTTTGGATTACTGTTATCCTTTTTCTTTGTTTCTGAAGGGAGCTGTTGAGTAGGTTTGGATAATTATCTACAAAGAATCTCAATGTTTGATTATTTTAGGTAGAAAAGAAGTATAAACCTTTTGTTGATACATTACAAATAATTATATTCAAAAGGATCATCTACTAAAAATGGTTTTCTTTTAAAATAGAAACTCTGGTATTCATTGTTCAAATGATGTTTGTGTAATTAAAATGCATTTCATTTTTTGAGAACTCAATTTCATCAGTTCATGAAGGAAACAAGTGCACATTAAGTGTCTAGCATATGCAGCCCTTATGTTGTTGACTGTTGTAATCTTGCAGTGTTGATCGTGGATTTCCAGTTGTCAAGTTTCATTTTGAGGATTCTCTTTCTCTGACAGTTTATCCTCACGACTACCTGTTTGAGTTTAATGTGAGTAGGAACTTCATTTCATTGTAGATGTACCCAGCTTCTTATTTGAGAAGCTTTGTATGCTAGATACTCAAATGACAAATACGTTTTTCTTTAAGGACTTTTATTTTAAGTTAACATGTTGTCTGAACTGATTTCTCAATCTCTTGAATGTACCTGAGCGTTCTGTGGTTTAACATACATATTAAATTCCATGTACAATTATAAAGAAAAATTGTCTGTATGAAAAATCAAAGGTATCTATAGTTCAATGTCAACTATAATGATGGTTTAAAATTTAAATTGGAACTGAATAATTTTACTCATATATGATGTATTTTTGAATTTAATTGAGTACCTTGGGTTGATAAATTAATTACTGAAATTTATTTACAGTGTTTTTTAATATTATTTTGTGCTTGATTGACCCCCAGGGTGGTATCCGGTGTATTGGCTGGCAGAAGAGTGCGGCACAGACCAAGAATGGAAAGGATATGACCCTTCTTGGAGGTACTGCTTAGAATTAACTGACGCTTATAAATTAATCCAGCGACTTAGAATAAGTTTATGGAATAAAATTTGTGCATTAAGTCATCAATTGAGTCTGATACTGATTTTTAAGATATCAGGGTCATTAATTCACAAGTGTTACTATTGGTGAGCTTGGACTTGTACTAGTAATGATATGTTTGGTATAAATTGGTGTATTATATCAAATCCTATCAATAATATGTTTATTATTTTTGGTTATCTCTTTCTCTTTCCTTTCTTCCATAAACCAAAACCCACAATTCGAACACTGATAAGGGTTCATCTTATAGCTTTTCATGTATTCCACAATTTGGGTTGAATTAAGTACATTTTTGTAAACTCAACTTTTGCCTTTTCTGTTGTATGTGTGTGTGATTGAAACTAATTTTATTCATTTTGTAAATCTTTTCTTGTTAGTGTTGGATCTCAACATCATTAACTTTGAATCATTTTCTATTCCAGATTTGGTGCTATCAAACAAACTAGTGGTATATGATCTTGAAAATATGGCCATTGGATGGACTGACTACAATTGTGAGTACCAAGCAGCATCTCAAATGTTTTGTTTCCTACTTTGTTTATTGATGCATTCGTTCCTTTTTAGATTTCGATTAAATAATAAAATTGCTCCTATTTATGTCTTTTTAAAACTTCAAGACAATATTAAGTAATACCTTTCCAATTATGCCCAATCGTTAAATATTTTACACACTTGTCATAAATGAGAGAGGAATAATAATAATGGAGGTCATATTGATAAGTAAAAAGTATTTTTTATACAAATGGGAGTAATAATTCTCATATCACATAGTTTGTTTCCTTTTAGTACTCTTTAATTCAAATTAATTTCATCATTCTATTACCCCAAACCTACTCCTGCCTGAAATGTTTTTAAGGTTTACTTTTGGGTACACTACACTTCTTGCGCTTGAGAGATACTTCAATTATATTGCCTTTCCTTCTAATTTTAAAACTTAAAACACTTGCAGTAAAAAATTAAATGTGCTAGATGTTAGTCTATTTTGTTGAAAATGGATAGGTCTTTCACTTGAAGAAAAAGTGTAAAGTGAAAAATAATTCGTATAAGGTAACGAGCCCGAGAGTAAATTTCTTGTTTATTACTAGTCCTACATGTTTTACTTTCTCCTCGTCTATCAAGAGAAGTGGAAAGCATAAAGAAAAGTGATATTTTTAAAATTACCTCTCTCATCTCATGCCAAAATAAATACATTGTAACTTTATAATTGTTCAAATATTTAATTTTTATTTATTTATTTATTTATTATTTTTAAAAATGACAATTTTCCTTTTTTTTTCATGATACTTTTTCATAAAATGAAGAAGTTATAAATTTGATAGTTCAAAATTATTTGTTGATAACGATGAGAACTGCAAAGAGTGAAAAGTTTGTTCTAAGAGGCTGATTTACATTAAACATATTGAAGTGTCGCATATATTAATATTGCATGAGGATGTTATAATTTTTAAAATTAAAAAGTACAGTTGTGTAATTCAAGCAATTTACTAGAAAGGTTAGACATGACTATTTTTAGGTGGAGGAGAGTGTGATTTATTTTTTAATGAATTTTTAATTTTCTTATTAGAAATGTAAGAAACGTTAATTAATCTACAAAAGCTTGACCAAAAGATGTTTCATTCGTCGTAGTTAACTTATCCATATAACTCATGTTAATTTCTACTGGTTTTTAGGATTAAATATGTTGATATGGATGCATGCTAAACAAAGGGTTTTTAAGCTTCACTTTCTTAGCATTGTGGTGTTGTGTTTTTCAGGCTCTTCGAGCATTAAAGTGAAGGATGAAGCAACTGGAGAAGTACTTACACTGGGTGCACACAATATTTCTTCAGTTTCTACCTGTTTTATTGGAAGAATATTGACTTTCTTTTTGTTGCTAACTGCCATGCTAAACAGTTAAATTAACTAGGTTTTTTATAATACGGATGGCATTCATTTCATTTTGTTGTACCATAATTCCTTGAATGATAAGGTGTGCAGTGTGCTTGATATGGTATAATCAATCATTACTGGTGTAGATAGAATTCACAAAGGGGAAAATATTTTTTCTGAAGTTTTTTCTTGTCAACATTTTTTGCATTGTTTTTCAATTGATTTCCTAATGAATGTATTTGCCTTGACTTATTATCCCGATGACTGAATATTTCCATTCATTCTTAAGTTAGTTAAAAAAGGCAATCTTCTTGTAGCAATCACCAATGCATATAAATGTGAATTTCACTAATGTTAACACAGTGCATATTTATCAGCCTTTTAAAATAAAAGAAACATTTGGTATTTGTAGTCAGTTTTTAAATTAGAGTGGCCTTAATTTGCTGTCATTGAGGAAGTGATTGTTGTCATAATCTGTTGCTCTGAGAAAGCTCTGAAAGTTAACATCCTTTCATGAACACGAGCAAAGTCTTTTGGGGTGGCATTGGGCACCATGACATTCAGTCCTGAATTGGACATTTGTACTAATGAAAGTGATGAGTATGTATCTCTGTCTATGTATAGCGGAGCATTACGGTGGTGGTTACTCATGCAACCTCTTTTGTCTGATTTTTTCTTTACTTTTTTTTTTCTGACTAAATATGTGATAATATTTAAAATGTGTTACAAAAGAGGTATTTTGAAACGCATGATGGATGGGTTGTTATGTTTCCATAGTAGGAAACATATTTATGAACATAAATGTATTCCGAATTAGTATTTTAAATGTTAGTATGTATTCTAAAACAACTTACAACTAGATGTTCTTCTGTAATACTTATTAACAAAATATCATATCTATGGAATGCTTGCTACACATTAATAAAAAAAAAGTGGAAGACGTAACCAAAATACTTATTTTGTAACCAAAATATTGATTTAAATGCTTATTTCACAATACATTCAAAAATAGTTATAGAAGAGTTACTCTACAACATTTTATGTTTAGGTGTTGTTCTTCCGAAACACATTTTATAATCAAAATATCATACTTTTGTAATGCTTATTTTGTAACACTTTAAAAATAATAAGGAATATGTAATTCAGAAAAACAATAAAAAGTATTTTGAAAATTACTTATAATTTTTCAGTAAAAATAATAAAAATATATTTTTTATAGGATGTAAGGGAAAATAAAACATTTGTACTTATAATTTTGGCAAAAGATGGCTTAATAATAAGTTATGATGATAAATAGTGGATAGTGAATATAATAGATGATAGTTTCACAAAGTTCTCAGAATTAATGTTTCTAAAGTTAATTTGGCTTAATTATTTTTTTAATATTTGGAATTTGGGATAAATTTGGTTCTAGTCTAATTACTGGTTTACTATGCATGGTATAACGAATATGTGTGTTTCTGAATATTTTTATCCCTTTAAACTTTTTTGTAATTATACATTATATCAATGATTTTTAAAATATTTCTAAATAATTAATAATAAAATCAAATAATTGGAGAAGATACATACTTACAAATTATATAATTATTAATTTCCTCTATATATTTTTATTTAAATAGATGGAAAGTAATTTATAGTGAAAATTAATTTCTTTTGAAGATAGTAGATAAAGTAATGTTAAAAATGAGTATTAAGTATTAATAAATTCAATATCAATTAAAAGGTGTGAATTAATTAAAAAACTTTATAAATATATAAAGGAGGGAGTAGATAAAAGAGAACTTTTGACCTGTAAAATTCTATCGAGTGACAACTGAGTGATCACTCATTCTGAGCAAATTTTTGCAACTTGTAACTGTTTATCGTATCATGTAATGTTACAATAAATTAAATTTAAATTTTTATCAATATATAATTACATACATTTCAATATTTGAATCTCAAAATAATATTTAAGGTAAATTTTCAATAATACTCTTTTTCGCAGTTCAATTTTTTAATTTGAATTTATTGCAAACATAATCATTAATATTTCATAATTTTATGTTAAGAATATATTAAAATTTAATCAATATTCAGACTTTGAATCAATTATAAATATTAATTTTTCAATTATGTATTTAGTAAAAAAAACTTAATTAATTTTTATTAAATATTTTTGGAATTTAATTATTTACTAATTTAAACCCTTCATACATGAATCCCCTAAACAAAGATATCAGTTTATAATATTTACATCTATTTACTTATTAATTGTTTTTAATATTTTTCATCACCTTTTTTAATGGTTATTAGTGATAATAGCCACTGTATTTGCTGTAATTTTTAAAATTAATAACTGGTAATAAATATATTTCTTATAGTGATAATTTTTTTTAATAAATCTTTCATCTGATTTTTAAAAACTGAAGTGCATACAACAAATTTTTATTTTATTTTCTTCCTTTTATAAATAGTTAATTAATAACGAGTTTATCCCAATTAGTTTTATGCATAATTTACCAAAAGCAAAATAGATTTATTATATCATGTGCATCTTTTAAGAAGTAACAGTATGAAAAAGTTGTAAATTTGTAGCAAAAAAATTATATAGTAATATAATTTTTAAGATAATTATTGTAAACGTAAGATTTTTTTTTCATCCATGATAATTTATGATGAAATAACAATGTAAAACTAACACTATCATTGTATATATTTTTTCTCAATAATATTACCCTTCATAAATTAAAATTATATAGGACCAGTGCGTTTTTTTAATTTATTTCATCTGAAAAACATGACACTAACATTTTAAGTTTTAAATAGTTTTTCTTATAAAAATAAATATTATCTCAATTAATGTCAATCAAATATATCAACTAAAAAAATAAATGAATCTATGTAGAAATTGGTGGAGATCCAATTCAAACGACAAAAATAATGATAAAGAATCAATTTGATTTATTTTATTGAACTATTCTTTTAACCAAATGAAATCTCAATTACTAAAAATTTTCACGTACAATTCCTATTTTCTAATTATTATTCAATATATTATTAGATTTTTATCTTATGTAGAATATAATTTAGTTATTTCATACTAAGTTAATTTTTTTTGTTACCTTTTTTAATTCCTTATGAGCTTATTAGTTAATAATTGATAAATTAAAAGTGTATTTTCAATTATCACTACTTCAAACATAGCTTAACCATTTTTGAATTTAGGAACCATAAATCAGTAGTTTTGTGGTCACTTTTAGTTTAGATTAGGGGTAATTTGTTCGAGGTATTTTCTCTCCAGCAATATTTTTATATATAAAATCAATTTTGTATTTGACTCTTAATTTAAGAGTAAAAAAACACAACTTGGTGATAAATAACCTATTTGAAGTAGTTTTTTTTCTTTATTTTTCTAAAAAAATTTATTAAGTTTAATAATTCTTTTAGCTAAATAAAAGCACAATTTCAAACCACACAAAAGTAAATTTTCAATAAATATATATAGAATATAATATAATGATTTCATATTAGTTATTTTTTTTATCATATTACACGTGTAAAGTATTACTGACCATATTACCATAATTTTTTGTGAAAATTTGAGGAAGTTTATTAACAAAATTTAAATTCGAGAATTATTTTGAAAAAAATTATATCAATTTCATTTTATATAAATTGACACTTTTTTTTCTTGTTAATTATTTAATACATTTTATAACATTAATGTATACTTAATTATCACCCACGTAATCAGTATTTATTTGGATTGAATTAATTTTATTTATTTTTACTTTTTTTTTCTTTTACATAACTTCAACATATGTCTTTGTTGGATAAGAATGAAAGATATAACCGTCGAATTAACGTGATGTAGCATATCTCTTAAACATGATCCAAAGTTCAATCTCTATGAGTAAATATATTATACACCAAGGCAATTCTGAATATATATATATATATATATATATATATATATATATATATATATATATATATATATAAAGAGATTAGTTCTACTTATATTCAGCTCTGCATTAATATATAGTGTTATGATTATTTTTTGTTGTTGCAAATAATTAATTTAAATTTTAATGATTTTTTACACATTATCCTTTATATGCACATTATTTAATATTAAACATTTTATTATTTAATTTCTTTCACATTCCATTATTCTGAAAGATAGACTTTTAAGTGTGAAATAAGAATTAGAAGAAGAAAAGTTTGGTATTTTGATAGCACTTTCCTGAAGTGAGAGAGCCATTATTTGTGGAATGAATATGGTGGAAATTCATGTATCTGGAATCATAAATTAATGATAATGGTGAACAACTTGCAATAATACTATTTTATTATTTATTATAATAATGATATATACTTATATATATACTATCTTGCATTTATATAATTTTTGTTTAATTAGTTTATGTTCTGAACTTGCCTATATTGAGATTTTATTAATTTATTAATTAATTAATTTACTTATTATTATTATTATTATTATTATTATTATTATTCTTTTTATCTTTATCTTGCACTTATATAATTTTTATTTCACTATATAATTAATTTTGCATATACTTACAATATATTTTGCAATTCACTTAAGATTATTTTAATAATTAATTACATATATAATTAATATCTTATAATAATAAAAGTTTTAATATAATTATTTTTTTACGCAAAAAAAAAGTATAAATGAAGTTAAAAGAAGAAAAAAAAGCTATTGACAAATAATTATAACTAAGCTACAAAATTTTATACTAATGATTTAAAAAAAAAATTGTTTACTAAATCCAAACTAATGTCCTAAACATGTAGCTTTTTTTTTTTTTTTTTTTATATATAAACACAGTCAAAATTTATGAAAAAGAATTTTCCCACAGGGACAAAGTTTTGATATTTTTTATTGATTTTGTTGGCATTGTTTTGAACTACAATTTTTTACACTACTCTGTGTTGATATGATGTAAAAGCTTAGATATGTATTTACCCTAAACACTTTCCTTTTATGATCATAGGTTGTGGTAGCTGTATCACAGTATTCAATTAGTAAGAAGTGTTTTGTTTCCTTATCTTGCATCTAAATTGTCCATATATTCGATGCCTTAGCATTCTGTGTGTACAAACACAGCAAAAGCTTCATTGGTGTCCAGTGTTGCATTAGCCAAATCCCAGCTTTCACTTTCACCAGTGTCCTCTGCCATGGAAAACAATGGCCACCATCATCATCACACCAACCAAATCTCAACCTCCAACTCTCATGGTTTCTCTTCCAAACCCAGTTGCAGTAAGCAGAAAATGGTTCTTGATTTCGATTTAAATGAACCCATAATCGATTCAATGGCTTCTTCTCCTCTCATCGACATCAATTTGGTTCCAATTTCTCAGGTGCCTTTTTTTTTAATTATTTCATAATAAAAATGCTTTCTTTATGCTCTATGCTGCTAATCAGTGTAAGCTTTTCTATCTACTTTTCAATAATCACTCATAAACCCTGTTTCTGATAGTTCTTTGCAAAACTAATTTTGTGTATGGAATTAATTGAGGTGATAAAATTGATTTTGAAATGAATTAATTTATGTTTAGATATATCTTTGTTTAAAAAGTAAATTAAGTGTTCTAACTTTTTTTTGTCTTTCTGTTCAAATTCAAAAGTATTGGATTAGAAATTTATGTGTGACTATGTTGCATACCAATGATTAATCTCATAATCAATATCCAGGACTGAAATATGTGAAGATATCTCTAAGTTCTATATCTTGGAGCCAAAATTCTTAACTATGGTTTTACAATTTATTTATTTTTTAAATCAAAATGAACTTTGAACTTTAACTCAAATTCTAATATTAAATGAAAATGTAAAATTTTGTTTAAACATTCATGTAGATTTGTTATTCACAACAAAGCTTATCCTTTGTAAAGAATATTTCATGAAAATATTATAATTATAATTTATTTTTTATAAAAATATTTTCTTTTTTCTTGTATTCATATTTAATATAATTAATGATGTAATTTTATTTAACTTTTTTACACATTTTGTGTCTTAATAAGAGACTAAAATTATATTTCATTTAAAAAAATGTATAAACCATGATACTTTTAGAAAATTTTTAATATATTTTAAATAAATGTAATACATGTACTCATTTTCTACTTTAGTCCTTCGAAACTCATTTGCTTAAAATCATAATTTCTGTAATATTTATTTTTTAAAATTTTAGTTTTTTAGTTGTCAGTAAATATCTATCGGTAAGTTATGTGATGATACGTGACTTTATGTTATTTTTAATTTAATCAATATAAACATAATTTATTTTTGTTTTAAACTCTCTCTAATGATAGAAACTATAAACATAAATCTTACAAATTTATCTGAATACTTCCGAATTGATAACTTATTAATAATAATTACAAACACTTTTTCACTCTAAACATTTTATTAATATATATATATATATATATATATATATATATATATATATATATATTCTTTTTCTTTTCTTTTTTTTAAGGTCACCTAAATCGACCAAAGAAAATATACCATATGTACTAATTGTACTAGATTCATCTATCTGTTTCTTTTCGTTCTTAACAGTAATTGTAACTAATTAATAAATTTTGTAATTCATTCCCGAATCTAAACCCTAAGGGGATGTAATTTATCATATATGAATTGTTCAGGTTTCTGCTGATAATTTCCTGGTGGCAAAGGATGGGTGCCAAACTCTTGCTCCAACATTGGATTTGTTGCCTGCTCCTCCAACACAAGTTGTTGAACAAGTGCATTCATCCAATTCCAATGATGACATAACAGTGAAGTTTCCATTTGATCTTAATGCTAAACTTGATGAGGAGGATTCAATTTCTTGCACTGAGGAAGCACCTCCCAAAGTAGGTGAAACCATTCCAAATTTACCTACCACTTATTTGGAGGTCACGCGACAAGATGTTCCTCCTACAAACATGGACAGTGAAGATAGAGCAAGTGCTGTCGAGGGAAGAACAGCAACATCTGAAAGCAGGTTTTGTTCTTCGAAAATATTGTTATTTGAGACCATAAACTTTGTGTGACACTCAACTATATATTTTATCTTACAGTGTCTGCTTGTTGGTGGTGATATATAACAAATACGTAGATTTTTATATTTGGGTATTGATTTGTTTCCCGTGCAGGAAGAGAAAGAGATTTATCGAAGAATATGAGAGAGGGAATGGGAGATCTTTTCGCGGGAAAACATCGACTGTGAATGTTGAAAGCCGAAGAAAGACCATTGTGGACGATGGTTATCGTTGGCGAAAATATGGCCAGAAAACTATAAAGGGAAATTCGTTCCCCAGGTATCGTCTTCTCCCTTCATTCCTGCACCTGCACCTGCAAGTTTGTTTATATCTCTCTACTATCCTTTAACACTCCTAAAACTTTTCAATATATTCATTGACATTAATATGTTCTTCACATTATGGCATGATATTTTACCCTACTACATATACCATTCATGCATTTTTGTCAATATATGTATAGATTTAAAGATAAAATTTCCATGGATTTTTTCTAGGGCCTACTACAAATGCACAAGTCCTGGGTGTTCTGTAAGGAAGCACGTGGAACGAGATTCTCGCAACAAAAAGAATGTGATCACTACTTATGAGGGAAAACACAATCATGAACAACCACCCCCTAAGATCCCTAATGAGAAACAATGCGCAGATGATGAAGAAGTTGAAGATGAAGAAGAAGCGAGAGAAGAACTTGCTACTGCTGCAACCAATGCTCTTTTGAATTTTCAATTACCTGCGAGTAGGAATTTTCTCAACACCCCACACACTGCACAACCTCGACTTCAAACTCTTCAGCTACTTCCTAATGACACAAATCCTGGATTTGCCATTACTAGGTCAGTGTGGCCTAACCCTTTTGGAAGTTTCAGCAATAACATGAACATTGGATCTTCCTCTTACACCCCTCAAATGCACTATTATTCTTTCTTCAATAATACCAATACCATGCCTTACGGTTCCTATGGACTTACCCTCAACCGTTATGCTGTCCCTCAACCTGAGTTTCCAATGCCACCACCCTTTATCATTCCTTCTTCTTCTCAAGTTTTTTCTCAGGCTATGCTTAACGCAAATGGGTCCAGTTCAGTGTTTCCTTTAAGGGAAATAGGTGCAAGATATCGCAGCTGGTATTAGGAAGCCCTAATATGCAAATGCTTCTCTGCATCTTCAACTTCATCGTGATCCGTTTGTCGACCTTCCATATGCTTGCAGAAGATGTTATCTTTGATAGTTATCTTGTCTTTACATAACAGTTGTTAGCAGTTGAATTTTTTTCTCTTGGTTTTGTTTGGTGTTTTAAGACATTTTGTGCGTTTTGTTGTCTTGGTTTTTCAGATTTGAATCAAACTATGTTATGAAGAAGCAAAGTTTGTACAAAAGTGCCAGTTTAGATTTCAGTTGAAATGCAAATTTTGGATTATATAAAGAGAATATATTCACAACTTATTTTTCTTATTAACAACTATAAATAATAATATAATAATATTATATTAATATTTAGTTGTGGATTTATGAAAAAAAATTCTCACAACATATTTTTATATATAAACAATTTATGAGTTTTGATTTTTAAATGGAGAATTTTTCTTTTCATTTTCTTTAATTAGAGTTGCATATATAACTTGTTTACATTCTTTCAATAAAAGGTCTCACAATTTTTTTCTTTTTGAACTTTATGCAACTGAAGCAATATTCTCTGCTTAATATTACACTGTTTTAAAAAAAAAAATGCTGTTTTCACTCTGCTTCTTTATATATATTAACTCTTTTTTCTTTCCTTTTATTTTTTCCCTTTTATAAATGGTTAACCGCAAGTTTATCCAAATTAACTTTATGTAAAATTGACTCCTTTAATTCAAATATTTGGAGTGCGTTTTAATTTAATTTATTAAAAAATATGAAATATATTTATATATAACATAATCTTAGTTCATTTTTTTTTTAATTTACTACCGCGTTAAAAATATACTTAATATTATTACCACTCATATATAAGTGTATTTAATCTATGAACCATAAATAAGTAGTTTCATGATCAATTTTAGTTTATATTACAGGAAATTTATTGCATGGTTATTTTTATCAGTAGAGATTTTTTTCAAAAATAAATTCAATTTAGATTTTTGAAATTTATTTGAAAGGAAGAAAATATAACTTGATAAGAACAATTTTACAAGGCCTAGTTATTAATGATTATTTAATATTTTTTATTAATAACCTTTTATCTTACAATAATATAATGAAACGATCTCCTACTAAATATAAAATACATCTTTTATTTTTTTCCCAGAGAGTTATAAATTTAAAATATTCACCAAATTTGTTAACTAATATCTATTAAATTTTATCAATCACTTCTAATGCAATTAATCTTCAATTCACCAGTAGAGAAAATGTATTTCCGTCTATTATTTTAATTTCTTTTTTAAAATTAAAGTACATATATAAAAGATTTAAATTTATGTTGGGTATATAAATAATTAATGTTAATATACGTCAGACAAACAAAGATCAGACCTAAAAATATTTCACAAATAAAAAAAAAGTGAAAATTGATACTAGATACGTTAATATCCAACGTAAATTACACTGGGTATTTTTTTTTTTAAATTCCTTTTATTTTACCTTTTAATAGAAATAATCCTTCATATAGGATACAACACTCCCTTTAAAAATTAAACTACTTATAAACTAAAATACTTAGTATAATACAACCTAAAACTTACAAATTAAGTATTAATAACTTGAAAAAAAATCTTGTTTATTGCTGTTATTTATATCGTATATTAATTTCACTCCCGTTAATATATAATAATCGTAAAGATAAATAAATTTAATAAATATTAAAAAGAATTACCCTATATAACAATAATAATACTTACATAAATTATAATTTTAATCTAATACATAATATAATAATCATATTTATAAAAATTTGTTTGCTTATTACACTAAAAATAAAAACAAATACAATATTATTTTCAAAGTTTATAAATAAATAATAATTATGATTTCTATTTAAATAATTTTTTAATGAAATACAAATTATTTATTCTTATAATATTAGTTAAAGACACAATTTTAATTAAAATAAAGATATATATTACGTTTTTAAAACATAAAGAAAAAAGGATAAAGTTATTTTTATAATAAGTTTTTCATTTTGTAGTTGGATTTTTGGTGTAATAAATAAAATCACAGTGTAATTTTTTATAAAATGATTACAATTAATTATTAGTAGAGACATACATGCGTCACATTCCACAAAATAACCACGGGTTAGAGTAGAGACAAAGAAATTAACCCCAGTCGCAAAAAACGCAAAAACCTTGAAAACCCATAAGAGAAAAATGTTAACGGCTACAAATAATACACATTGTGAGTGTTTTCACCGCTTAAAAAGTGCTATTAGAGGTGCTTTAAGTCGCTATCGCTGTGGTTACATTTAAACAGCAAGAAAAAAAAACCCTAAAAAATCATAAATCTTGTTTTTTTTTATGTCATATCTGAATTTGATGTAAAGACTGTTTTTACCTTGAATTCTCAGACATAAAAAAGTTATAATTGTTTTTTTATCCAATCGGAAACTGTTAACCTAAAAAAAAACCCTATTTTGCATTTTATTTTATTTTTTTTCTTTCGGTTTGAATGTGAGAGTTTAATATGATGATCTGAACTCAAATTACTTAGAGAATATAATATTAGTATAAAACTTATCTAATTTTTTTACAGAATTTTATTTAATTATTTTAACTTTATCTTTATTTAATAGTTTTTAAATATTTATATATATTATCACACGTATCATGAATTAATTAATGAATCAAAAACAATTTTTCGCATATTTATTTTGAACATGAGATTTGTTTGATTAACTTAAATACACTTTTCCCTCCAATTGAATATGTTCATTAGTTTGCTTCTCGTAATTTTAATTATTCGATTTTTATCCATACATTTTAAAAAATGATTCTTTTATTTATTTTCACAGTTTTAGTTTTTTTTTTTAATTTTTGATTCACATATTTAAAGAATTTACAATTTTATTCCCACCATCAACTTAGCATTCAATTTTTAACATATACGATAACGTGATAAATTAGCATAAGTATCAACCAGATGTTTATTAGATTATTTAATATAAAATATCAAACCACTTAACATTAAAGAATTCAATAAAAATATTAAATAATTGAACAATTTAATAAATAATATTAAACATTTAATAATTACATTTTAATTAAGTTATTAAATAAGTTATAAATAAAGTAAAATCATGAAAAGTCACTACCAAACTAGACATAAATTAGCTATTGTATTGTTGCGTCATAAAATTTGTTAAAAATGAATGGAAAGTTAACATTGAGAGTAAAGTCATCATTTTTTTTAAATGTGTAAATCAAAATAAAACTACATGAATAACTTTTATTTGTTTCTTAAATTTATGGTTCAAAACAATTATATATACATGTATAATTTTATTAAAATAGTTAACGAATCAAATAAATTTTATTTCATATAACAAAATAGATGAAAAAAAAATTATTAATCTGTTTTGATTCATAAAAAAATTAAATAAAATTTAATAAAAAATATTTCACTCTGTCTGATAATAATATTTTATGAATGGGATATCTAGTTTACCCATAAAAAATAATATTTTTTAAAATTAAAAATTATAATGAAGAAAGATAAAAAAAAATTTTGTAAAATAAGTTTTAACTCTTTTAAACATTTTTAAGGTAACTAAAGAAAAATTAATTATAAGAAAACTTGATTAATTAATTTTGGTCCATTAAGTTTTGGTGTGGATTAATTATTAAGTATGGAATGAATTTAATCTGATACAATTCTTTTATACTTTTTATGTGATCATACACTCAAATTTGTCCAATATAGTCAATTTTTTTATAAAACTTTGCAATAGTAGTTAATTTTTTGTATGACAAAAAAAAAGTTACATGAATGAATTAGTGATATGACTACATTAAATTAATGGATATAATTTTTGAAAAATGTTTTTATTTGCTAAATTGGTTGTAAAATTAAATATTTTTTTAATTGCACTTCTCCTTGTACATATTGTGACAGTTTAAAGTAAGCACTTTCCTTTATGATCCCACTGTGGAGTGGATGTGAAAGAGTTAATTATTGGTGTTGCCTTTCCTTATTCTGTGTTTAAATTGTCCATATATTCATTGCCCTAACATTGTTGTGTTTACAGAATATAAAAGAAAAAGCTGCTTCATTGCTTCAACCTCCATTGTTCTATGTTGGAGAAGCTTAACCACACCATGTCTTCTTCCATTCAAAACAATCACCATCACATCAATGAAACCACACCACCATCCAATTCTGCAGAAAAGGGTTTTCATGGTTTCTCTGCGAAGGAGACAAAGGGTTTGGATTTGGATTTGAATGAACCAGTAATCAATACAAACCCTGAGACTTCTCTTACTTTGGTTCCAATTTCTCAGGTATATTTGATCTTTTTTCAATCTATTTATTCATTAAAAAATGTTCCTTTCATAGTACAAATTTAATCTATATATTAACTCTCGATTTTTGTGTATTGATTTGTGTTAAAGTTGATTTTGAAGTAAAATAATATTAGTTTGGAGTTTTTTTTTTCTAAAAGTAAATTAATATAGTTTTAGTAGAAATTTTTATTTAACAAAAAAAATATTATTTAGAGTTAATTTAATTTGAACCAAAATCAATGTTAATCCCTACACATATATACTCAAACTCAACGTCATTAGGAGGTGAGATTATTCAAATTAATAAGTAGTTTCAAATTAAAATTTTAAATATACATTTTTAAAAAATAATTTTGTTCATAATGGTTTTACACTAATAAAAAATTATCTCATCGGATAAATATTTAAAATTTAATTATATTGTTTATAAAAAATATTTCCCACTTTATCTCTATTAAATTATAATCATTTTCAGAAAAAAATATTTCTTCCTTTATAAGAATCTTTTGAAATTAATACGTTACATTAATTAAAATTTCTTAACATACTCTTAATTAATAAATAATTTTAACAAAACATAATAAATATTAAAATTAATGGTATAAATTATTTTCCTACTAGGATAGGAGAAGATGTATAACAAAAAGTTATAGGATTTTAGGAAAGTAGACATAATTGTGTTATTTGTTCATTAGAAAAAAATATATGGGGAGGTTTATATTAATTTTTTTCGTATGTTTATTAGTTTGATTCACCAGTTTGACATATACGATTGCTGTTATTCTATAATATTTTAAATATTAATAAATTTTATTAACTTTAAAATGATCAAAATGTATGATTACAACTTCTAAATTATGTATTAATTTTATGTATTTTGAGAGGATTATACATTTTTTGTTTTAATATCTTTCTTTTATCACAACTCTTTAGAAATTTGTATCAAATTTAATATATTATTTTCTCCAAAATAATTACGTTATAATTAACATATATGTGTGAAAGGAAATAATTTTTTTTTAAAACAATAAGAGTAAGTTTGCAAAATTAATTCAAATAATTGACAAATTTACCAATAACTAAATTAGTTTTCATTGCACATACTATTAGTTCTTAACAAGAGATTAAAATTACATTATTTTATCAAATATGTGGAGAATGAAAAAATAATTTGTATAGGGAGCATATATTAAATCTATGATATTTTAAAAAAGATAAAATATTTTTTTTAGTTGATATAATACACTCTTTTTTGTCCTAAGTTTTTTTTTTTCAAAATAACATGTATAGTATCGATTTTATAGCTTTAGAGCTGGTGCTTAATAGTCTTACTATTGTTTCACTATTTCATAAATAGCTTACACTTAACTCTCCTATTTCCAATTTCTTACAGTAAATATTACATGAACTATTTTTTCACAAAATCTTGTTGTATACAATGTCAAATAACGACAAAGCTTAGGTAAATTTGGTAAATATTTTTCCACTCTAAAATCTTAATTAATATAAACTATTTATTTTTATTCTTTCTTGTTATCATACCACCAATTAAATTTATACTTGTTTATTATAGAGAGTGGACATTAATAATTTTTGTAATTCACTAAAATGGTTATGTAATATATCATATATGAGTTTATCAGGTTTCTGCTGATGATAATTGTGTTGTGGCAATGGGAGGGTGTCAACCTTTTGCTCCTGAGTTGGATGTGTCACATGCTCCTCCAACACAAGTTGTTGAGCAAGTGCATTCATCCAATTCCAATGATGAGAAAATGGTGAAGTTTCCTTTTGATCTTAATGCAAATTTTGATGAGGAGGATCAAATTTCTTCCTCCAATGAAGCACATGCCAAAGATGGTGGTGGGAGTGAAGCCATTCAACCTTTACCTTCCTCTCATTTGGAGGTCACTGTAGAAGATGTTCTTCCTACAGACAATGATAGTGAAGATAGAGGCAGTGCTGTTGGGGGAGGATCAAACAGTTCTCAGACAAGGTTTTGCTCTTTCAAAATTATTGCATCATTAATCTAAGATTATACGGTTTGCCAATCTAACCACACAATTCTATCTGTCTACTCGGTGGTGATGCAGAACAATAATGAGAATTTATATTTTTGTTAACTGATGATTTACTTACAGGAAGAGAAAGAAATCCGTTGAGGAATCTGAGAAAGGGAGAGGGAAGGCTTTTCGTAGAGAAAATGTGGAAGTGAAGATTAAGAGACAAAAAGAGAATACAGTAGATGATGGATATCACTGGAGAAAGTATGGTCAAAAGCCTATTAAGGGAAACTTATTCCCTAGGTATAGTGCTCTCTCTCTCCTCACTCCTTTCATGTCCAAGTCTCTTCATGTTTTTCTAGATGGATTGTGATGCTATGTGTTATAGATTGCATACATGAGATAGAAAATTTTGACTTGTGTGAATGCTCTTTTTTCAGTTTATAAGATTTTGTTTTATCAGTTTATCATTTTCAATTAAGGTCTCAAAACTCTTGACATTAGGCCTAAGCTTTTATGCTTGTATGATAAAGCATTCATGCAATTTTAGGTTTTGCCAATATGCATTAATTCAACAAGTTTTCATGGATGTTTTCTAGGGCCTACTACAGATGCACAAGTGCTGGGTGTTCTGTAAAGAAGCACGTGGAACGTGATTCGCACAACCAAAAGAATTTGATTACTACTTATGAGGGAAGACACAATCATGAACAACCAGCCTTCAGGAACCCTAGCAAACAATATGTAGAAGATGATGACGAAAATGACGAAGATGAAGAAGATGAAGAACTTGCTGCTGTTGCTGCAGCCAATACTCTATTGACTTTTGGGATGCCTAGGAATTTTTTGAATGTCCCAAACCTTGCAGAACCTCGAGTTCACACTCTTCAACTACTTCCCAATAACACAAATCCTGAATTTTTCAATAGGTTCATGAGACCCAACCATTTTGGAAGTTTCAACAATAATATGAATATTGGGTCTTCCTCATACACTCCCCAAATGCATTATTCTTCATTCTTGAATAACACCAATACCATGGCATACCAATCCTATGGAATTAACCTTGACCGTTATGTTGCCCCTCAACCTAGGTTTTCAATTCCACCACCATTTAACATGCCTTCTTCTTTTGGAGGTTTCCCTCAGGATAGGGTTAATGCTAATGGGTCCAGTTCAATGTGTCCTTTCAGAGAAACAGGTGCAAGAGATGGTAGGTGGAACTAGGATCCTGACATTTGAAAAAGAGCAAATGTTTCTCTGCACCTTCAACATCATTGTGATCCGTTAATCGACTTGCATATGCATGCAAAAGTTATTATGGTGATAGTTATCTTCACAGCTGTTTGAACTATTTCTATGGACTTTCATTTGGTGTTTAGGGTTTTCTTTTTCTTCTGTTATTGTTTTTGGTTATTCGGATTTGAGTTAAACTGTGTTTCATGAAATATGGACAAAACTGCATCCTGCTAAGACTCCATTTGAAATGAAATTTTATTGGTTTATACACATTCAACATCATTTTATGGGTTTTATATAGTTTAGTTTTTTTATATGGTTATTCTTCTATCATTATGAAACTACAACGGTTTTATGATAACTTCAAATGTTATATACGTAATATATGATTCATTGGATAGATTATAATTTAAAAAAAATGCCATTAAAATTCACCACCACAATCATAAACATTACTCTCATTACCGTAATTTTTATCCTCATGTTAATACTTAGAAATTAATTCCCACGAATCTACCCATATTTACTATAAAAGTGAATTTTTGAAGGAGAGTATTTATAGAAATTATTCTTAAATTTAAGTGAAAATATTTGTAGGGGTTGCTACTAAACGATGGTGTTTTTCATAACTCACATCTCACTTCCATTAATAACCATTTAGTTTATCCACAAATTCTACATTCAAACAAAAAGTAATGGATTAAGAACATACTAATTTGCTATTAGATGGATAATGAACCAATGAGTTAATTATCTTGAAGATATGAGAATATATATATATATATATATATATATATATATATATATATATATATATTAATAAATCGTGCACTAGTGACAAAATTTTCTTTAACTGTAAGAACACAACATCGAACTACAATAATAATTCACTGATGTTTAATGAAGCTAAACTACTTCAGAAAAGCATTCTCAAATTTTTAATTACATTAAAAAACTCAACTACCTCTACCTCCGTCCATAATTAACAAAGTTGAGAATCTTTAACTGTAGGTCATCAGGAATCTCTATATTGATTATAATGTTCCTAGTATTGTATTAATTATATTTCAAACTTCTTGCGATGAAATGGATTTGTTATTAGGCTAGTTAAATTTATGATCATTCATTATTTTCATCAATTTTAAAATATACTCGTTTATTTTAAGTGAAAGTTTAAATATTTTATACAAAAACAAGTATAAAGTATTTAATTATATAAAAGTTTCAAACTGTATGACTTTATATATATATATATATATATATATATATATATATATTTATTGATTTTATATATGTTTGACATTATTTTACATTACATCAATCTGGTAAAAAGTCTACTTTTAGTTTAAAATAAAATTAAACTTAAAAAGTTATAGAATAATAAGTTTCTTTAATTTAATTTTTAAGGATTTTTTTTATTGTTTTTAAAAACAGTTTTAAGTTTTTTTAGTTTTTAAAAACTATCAGTAACTATTTTGTTAAAATAATTTTTGTTTTTTAATTTTTAAAAACTAAAAAAATAAAAACTGATAAAATATTTTTTTTTGTTTTTATTAGTGGGTATTATTATTTTATCTAATAATTACATTAAATCATTAGTTTTTATTATTATAAAATTATAAAATTTTTTCATCACGATTTAATATAATTATCTATATTATACTTTTTCGTTCAAAACAACTTTTAAAAATAAAGTTATCAAACAATTTATTTCTAATATATTTTTAAAAATAATTTTTAAAACTGTTTTTTGAAAACTAAAACTAAATCAAACAGGTCCTAAATTATATACAATTTTTAGACATATTAAGCTATATAAACTTCAAGTTAATCGTCAAAACTTAATATTCTTGTATATACAAGTTGAATCACTGTGTTGGAAACTCAAAATTAATTTTATTACGCTTTTATAGTTAGAAAACTTTGAAATAACTTTAGGCTTTTATTACGATTATTAACATCTTACTTTGATTTTTAAATATATTCGTTTATTCGATGCAATAATTTAAATCTTTTGATAAAAGAAAGAAAAACTAATTAATATTTTATTTAGGATAAATATCTTAAAATTTTAGGTAAGTAGAAAGATTATGCAAGTTAAACGGAAGCAAAGTGGTTCAAGTAATTCTAAAAAGTCAACAATCTAGGTAAATGCTTGAACTATCTTCGTCGATAAACGAGACTCAATCTTCAATAGTCAACTACGAATCAAAATCACACTCACTGAAAAACATAAGTCATTAATATCAATAGAGAATTGACCAAAGAAAATATAGGGTTCAAGCAGATGATTTGACGCGATCAAAAAATTAGATTTTCTAATTAACATGAGTTTAATATTATGGATATAACTATATATATATAGAGAACTAAAATTCAACTTTACACACTAATTCTTTGAATAGTAAAATTTATGGTTCTAACCAAAACAAAAACTAAATTAGAACAAGTGTGTTATAGTAATCAATCATTGAAAATGTTTTTTCAACATAAATTATATATGAAAAGAAAAAAAAATGAAATTGATGTCACATTTACAGTGCTCTGCTAAAAAGCTAAAATGATGTTAACTGGAACTTGTGTGAATTATCATCTCTGCACAGCAACCTGCGGTTCTTTGAAGAACATCCTAGGTATTGGTATATGATGCTGTTAAGACACTGTCTCAGGCTTAAGACATCAACCGTTTCTAAGAACTTTAAATCTGTTGTTCTGAATTTAGCACCAGCAAATAGCTTGTACTCCTCAAACACAGAAGATAAACACCAACTCTGCAATTTTCTGAAGCATCCAACGACGCAACCAGTTCGATGCTGTATATAACAAGGCAATCATGATATTGATAAGATTTTCAAATATATTGGTGGTAATTTGATGGGAATAAACAAGAAGAAAATATGAATCATGAATCATTTACACAGGTAAATCTGATATCACATTCAAGATATGTGATTCGACTTAAAAATTAATTAACTAAAACAAATAAAACCACAAGCAAATGATATATATACCTTTCCTTGATTGCAGTGGATTAAAACAGGGTGATTTCTCACGTCTGAAACAAAAAAAAATAAAAATGAAGCATGTTAAGAAAATGTATGACAGTCGCGGATTCAAGAGATAATAGTTAAATAAGAGTTCTATAACTATAATACTGAAAAATCGTAAAAGAATTTGAAAATAAACTCTTGGGAATGATTTCTTTCAATATATAAACAATACCAATTAAAACTTTGACGGCCTCCAAGATCAAATCCTTAACGACAGGCACAGAAAGATCCTGCAGAAACAAAAACAAAAAAACTCAGTAAAAGCTTAAAAATAAGATCATATGAGTTTAAGTTTGTAATGCATTGGTAAGGCATAAAATGGATGTACCAAAAAAAGATGGCATGAGAATTTTGTATTCACGAGAAAGGATGTTAATTACCGTCTTGCCTTGAATACCAAAGTGGAAGAATTGAATATTTTGCGATTGAAGAAACTCTAGATTTTGTTGTGGATAAGGTTCGGGGCACAAGTATCTGCAATCACTCACCAGAATGAAACCCTGTGAGTTTTTCTCGTACATACCTAGGAAAAATGAGCGAAGGAGAGAAACGTAAACTTACACGAGGGATCGAAGATTCAGAGTTTCTAGAAAAGAGAAATTTGAAGATCGAGGGAAACTGGAGCGATAAATGCCCTCCTCCACCATTGAAAAGTTAGATGGAGCAACCACAACTTCGTTTACTTCCTCTATCGTCACCTCTCCCACCATAGTTATTAAACCTGATGATATTATTATTCTTTCAATTTCAACTTTCTCCAACAACAATAACAAGTTATACCTCTATGAGTTCAAAGGTATCGCTGGTCTTTTACATGGACATAATTAAATGAACCGTTGTGGACTAGATCAACTTGGAAAGTTTGAACCTGAAATACTTGGCGGCTTAATATCAATTATCGATTGTATATAAATAAAATGGTATTAATCTATTTTAGATTTCTTAATCATTTATCTTAATTTTCGTTATATGATTTATATATTTATTGAAAAATTTTAAATTAATATCCTTAAAAAAATTCATTCTGTAGCTATCTCTACCTGTAATCAAATTTTAATTTGTATGTGTATTTATTTTTTCGTAAAATATATTTTTTATATCTATTTGCAACGTCCAGTTTATTTGAATTATGTATTCGTTTTTAATATGTAAAATCTAATTTCAAGAATAAGATAATGTTACAGTATATTGTTTTTCTTTTTTAAGATAAGTTTTTTTGTTTGTGATATATTAAAAACTAAATTATATTAAAAACATTAAATAAAATATGATCATATATATATATATATATATATATATATATATTTTTTTTTTTTTTGGAGTTAACTAACAAATAAAAAAATCTAAAAAAATAATTAAAAACAGTTATCTTTACGTATTTTAAAAAATAAGCAGTCAAATCAACTGCATTGAAAAAGAACACGTGGGTGAAGACAAACACGTGCAAAATTGTAAATGGATGCAAATTCAAAAGGCGTGAAAACCGAAAAAGAGCAAAGTTTACCCAACTAATGAAAGAGGTCTTAGACTTTGAACGCTGATTTTTTGAAACTTTAATTGATTTAATAGTTGAAAAAAAGTTTTTATGTTGAAAGTTAGTTATATATTGTTTTTTTTTCACAAGTTATTTCATCTCAAAAGTACATTCACAAAAAAAACTGAAATTAAACTGTGTGTCTTCACAACCGAATCTAATCATACTTATCGATGATTAATATAAATATAAAATTAATTTCAATATGGAATATTAAATATACGTGAATATTATTATTTTTAAAATACTTAACCATTAATAACAATAATTAGCATAAATAAGTTAAATATATTTTAATATTAAATGTTAATTTTATTTTTAATCTAATAATTTGAAATACTAACAACAATGTTAATGATTTATCTAATTTATTAAATTAGTAATAACATTATTATAAATATTAAAAAATTGAAATTATTATTATATTACTTAAAATTATTAGAAAATGTATAAACATCATTAAAATATTGATAACTAAATTAGAAAAATGGAATTTACTATTATAATTATGCTAAATTGATAATTATTAATAAATATGGTAGCTTATAAATTTATTACGAAAATTATATATATGATTCTTAATTAAGAGTTAATTATTAATAAAACATTATTTCAGTTTCTCATAAATATTGATAATAATTATTATTATATTTCATAACAATTTACAAAAATATATTAAAAATAAATTTACTTAACAATATAAATCAATATTTACAATTTAGTATTTTAAAATAAACATTTTATTTTTAGTTGTTTTTTGCTAACATAAATATAAAATAATAATAATAATAATAATATTTAATCACTGTTTTAATATTTATTTTTTTATAAAAATCATCATCATTATTATCATTTAATAAAAACAAATTTAAATAACAACATTTAATATTAGTTTATATTAAAAATAATTAATAATAAACTTCAAATATGAATACTTACATTAAATTTTAAATTTAATAATTTATATTCAAATCAATTTAAAATAGAAATAATAATTATTAATATCAATAATAGTTAAGATTTCTTTAAAAAAAATATTAATATTTGCATACATTTCATGTTTTATACTCAAAATATTTTTATATAGAAACTATTTATCAATATTAATTAACTTATATTCACATTGATTATTTTATATTAACAATAATGAAATTTAAGTTTAATTTAATTTAATTTAATACTAAATAATTTAGTAATTAGTTAATATAATATGATAATCTTCTTCTTTTTTGAAAAAAAAATACTTTTTATATTTATTTTATATAATTAAAAAAATTCAGATTAAAATTTGATTCTTGATAAAATAAAATTATAACATTTTTATCTGAGAATGATAAATAAATACTCAATCAATATTCTATTTTTCCATATTCAAATCCCATTATAATGAAAATTTTCTTAGTCTTTTATTAATGTTTTTGTGGTACGGTACGATGAAAAGGACAGAGAGTAATTAAATCTTTAGTGAAATTATATTATTATATATAATTTAAATAAATTTTTTACATGTTTTTATTACTATTAAATTAGTACAAATATTCATGAATAAAATAATAAATAATATTAACAAATATTTTGTGTATATATTGTTATATTTATTATCTTATTAGTTTATATTTATTAATATTATTAATTATTCTTACAAGATGAAACTGTGTGGTTTTTTTTTTCTAAATCTTCTCTTTTTTTTCTAATTGTTATATAAATATTAAATATATATATATATATATAATATAAATAATATATATTTTAAAAAATTATTTATATAATTATATCAAATAAATATAAATGTATTTTTTTATTTATCATAAAAATATATTTTTTTATATATCATAAAAATATATTTATATAATTATATTATTAATATATTTTTATAAATATAGTAAATACAAACATTTAATATATATATATATATATATATTTTATATATAATATTTAAATATTTATTTATACTTTTATAAATATAATAAATACATGTATATTTATATATTCAATAAATATATATTTATATCTTTCTATATCCATAATAACATAAATAAATTGTCTATCTATCTATCTATCTATATATATATATATATATATATATATATATATATATATATATATTAGTTATTTATATTTTTAATATAAAATAATTTTAGTAAGTACAAATAATATTTCTTTTTATAAAAATATATACATATTTTTATTATATTTTAATATTTTTTATATATTTTTATAAATATGATAAATACATATTTATATTTTCTTATATACATTATAAATTTATTAAATATAATATATATATATATATATATATAATACTAAAGTATTTATTTAATATGAAATATTTTTAGGAAATATAAATTATAATTTTCTATTTTTTCCATAGAAATATATAAATATTTGTAGTAAATATAAATACAGTATTATTAAAAATATATATATATATATATATATATATATTAAATAAGTATATAAATATACATATTTATATATGTAAAACATTTTTTTATATTTTATATATAATAATTATAAATATATATTTTTATATATAATAAAAATATATTATACAATTATATGTTTAATATATTTGTATATATTTTTTGTAAATATATTAGTTATATATTTAATATATATAGATATATACATTTAATAATACATATTTATATTTTCTTATATATATATATATATATATATATATATGATAATATATTTTGTATATAATATTCAAGTATTTATTTAATAAAAAAATGTTTAGCAAATAAATATAATATTTATACTAAAAATAATTTTATTTAATTTTGATATAATAAATAGATTTGGTATAAATATTTTGTATAAATAGAAATTTGAATTAGATAATTGGAGTAAGATATACCATTTGAATTAAAGTAGATTGATATTTTAGATATTAAATCAATGAGATATGAATAAATAAGTTAGAAAACCACAAATAATTAGAATATTTATTTATTTATTTATTTTAACATCATATTATAAAACTATAACAAATTTTTGTGATCTCTTAAGATTAGGGTTATGCGAACAATGATTTCTTGTATGACCTAAAGTGTGTGACCTTCTTCGTGAATATTCATTTCAGTCATAATTCGTGTTAAATTCGGACGATCCTTAAAACTTCTTGTTGCTGGATTGTGGCAAAGTTGTGAGCCTTGATGTGATGACTAATAATCTTCTTGTCTAAGCTCCCAAAACAAATTTTCATACACTTTGTTGACTACATCCAACCTGTAAACAGGATTGATGTACATCTCATAATCATGGTGAGTATGTTTGCACGCTACAACCACATGAGAACATGACAGATGAAGTTTTTGGAACTTTCTACAACCACACGAAACTTCATCTAGTTTAACAATAAAATTATCAATAGGTTGAACCTCTCTTGAATTGATGATCTTCTCTATGAAAAATCTTGTGATGCTTTAATCGAATTTAAGAGTCATATGAGTGTTTGATTTTTTATAGGCATCTTGTAAGACCTTTGATGCAACTTCTGAATGGACATGACCAACATTAATCATTATTGTGATTTGTCTCCATCTTTTTTTGAAAAATTTGTTGCATCTTGTATATATGGGCATGACCATGAAAGGGATTGACATATTCATTGTATTCTTTAGGATTAAATTGATGGATTCAGTTAAGTTGGTTGTTAGGTGACCCTATCTTCTACCATCATCATATGCAATTACTCATTTGTTCATGGGAATATCGTCAATATAGGTTGTTGCTTCTGGATTGACTTGTCTTATGATGTTGTAGTAGTAGTTTGCTTTTGGCTCAACCATTGCATATATTGCATATTAAAGTAGTAAAAGTTAACATAGAATAGACAAGATGACATGATAAACCAGTTTAGATAGAATAGAAGTTTTTACCCATATTGACAATGTATTTTTTGAGAGTTTCGTTCTTGAATCTTCTCATAAAATTTTGTGTAATGTGTCGAATACAATACACATGTATACATTTACCCTCAGTCCATCCACTCTCAGGTCTTGCATACACTACATGAATTGAGTTGTAGTGATCCGAAATTAAACACAAGTTGTCCTGAGGTGGGACATACCTCCTTAGGTTTTTTTAAGAAAAAAAAACAAGCATGTG